AATCTATGATTAGTGCAATATTTGGTATGATATTAATTGCATGTTAAACATGTTTAATGCTCGCCATTGGAGCAGTCTAGGTCGTTGGATTAACTTAGTTCGATGGCCGAGATCAATTGGATCTGCCCCTTTCGGTATTTTTATATTGGTATAGATGACAATCTCTATGGACTAATGGTTGCCTTGAGTTATATTTAAAGGTTTTGTCCATAGGCTTTTCTTGGAGTACATGTGTTGGTTTCAAGGAGAGTTTGTGTCGACCAAGGTGTTATTCAAGGAATTATCCAAAGATTGGTCATTTAAGAGTTGAGCTTATTGCAAGCATGTCTTGAAGAAGAAGATTGTGTGATCATTCATGTTTACCTTCAAGACATCATCCAAACGAAGAGAGTTGGAAAGATTCAAGGTTGATCAAGACTAAGTCAAGAGTGAATCAAGTTGATCAACTCACAAAGCATAGAAGATGTACCGAGAGGGATCAAGTGATCCCATGGTTTGGTAAGCATTGTTTGTGCTTTGTGTACTAACCCATGGTCTATTTGAGAGTTCTACGTGGGGTTAGGTATGTGTTCATGGGCTTGTGTCAAGAGGAAGATATCACTCAACCCATGAAGAGGATGACATCAAGTGATGATCGTCATCAAGATTGCCGTGTGCAAGTTCAAGTGGATCATCGCGAAGAGATCAAGTGCTTGAAGCTTGCTGGCCATTGTGGTGACAATGGACTTGTGAAGATGTGCCGAAGAGTGGCCTACCCATAGTGGACTACGGGGGAGCAATCATCTAGTCTTCATCGTGCCAACGCAATCAAGTAAGGTAGTCCAACTTGAGGGAGTCAAAATCGTCATCATCTAGCTCAAGTGAACCATGTGCAAGGCAAAGGTTTGCTCTTGATAGGTTTTCTATTTTACCGGTCTCATGGTGGTAGTTTGGAGACCGGGTTATAGGATCGTTTGCCGTACTATCAAGGGGGGCTCTCAAGTTGGTAGCTTGATCGTATCGTTAGTAGAGAGCTCAAACCATTGCATCCTTGCATCATCTTTCTTGGTTCTTGTTTGGTTCTCTTTGTGAGTCTTAGAGCTTACGGTCATCTTGTTGGAAAGCTTGAGTTCATCGAAAACGGAGTTTGCTTGCATCTTCTATGATGTTTTCTATGTTGGAGGTTTTGCCGGTTCTTCTCGGTTGGAGGTTTCACTCCTCTTTTTGTTAGGCATACCTCCCCTGCCTCTTCTTACTATAACCAGCCGCTGTTTTGATGCTACTCGTCGTCTTGTTTCCAACAAGCTTGAGTTTGCTCAATTCGGAGCTCATATGCAGAAGTTATGGCAGTTCTTGTTTTCTTGAGTGTGGTTTTTGTCAGGGTCCCAGCGGTAGTACCGTGGTACCCAGCGGTAGTACCGCTGAGGGGTCTCAAGGGGCAGTACCGCTCCGCAGCAGTAGTACAGGCGGTGACTCCTCAGCAGTACTACCGCTGGCTTACCAGGTCCCTACCGCGTCGATTCGAGGGGTCTTTTTCTGTGTCGGATTGTGCGGTACCTCGCTACGGCAGTAGTGCGGCAGTACCGCTCCTTAGGGGCAGTACCGCCCTTCCTCCGCGGTAGTACCGCCCGGTTCCCTCTTTCCCTTTCCCCTTCGTTCTGCGCGGCAGTACCGCCGAAGGGAGCGGTAGTACCGCTTAACCCAGCGGTAGTACCGCTGTCTCCTGCGGCACTACTGCCCCAAGGTTCATGTTTTGTTACTCCTTTTCTCTGTTTCTTCTGCCTGAGCGGTAGTACCGCTCGTGTGCGGGCTGAGCACATAACGGTTGGATTTCCCCCCTCCTATAAAAGGGGGTCTTCTTCCCCATTGAACCTTATCCTTTGAACTCGTGTTCTTCCCCCATTGTTGACCTTCTTCGAGCTTGCTAACTCTCAATCCCTCCATGGATTCTTGCTAGTTCTTGAGGGAAAAGAGAGAGGAGATCTAGATCCACATTTCCACCAATCACTTTCTTCTCTATGTGAGGGGAACCCCTTGGATCTAGATCTTGGAGTTCTTGGTGTTCTCTTTCTTGTTCTTCCTCTCATTTTCCTCCCTAGCATTAGTTGCTTCGGTGGGATTTGAGAGAGAAGGACTTGGGCACTCCGTGTGCCCTTGCCATTGCATATGGTGCATCGGTTTGAGTTCTCCACGTGATACGTGGAAGTTACAAGTTGAGAAGCTTATTACTCTTGGGTGCTTGGTATCCTTGAGCTTGTTCCTCTTGGGTGCTTGGGCGCCCTAGACGGTTGTTGGTGTTCGGAGCTCAATCATTGTGGTGCAAAGCTCCGGGCAAGCATCGGGGTCTCCAATTAGGTTGTGGAGATCGCCCCGAGCAATTTGACGGGTACCGATGACCGCCCCCAAGGGTTGCCAAAGTGTACGGGTTCGGTGACCGCCCCCAAGGGTTGCCATTTGTACGGGTTCGGTGACCGCCCTCAAGGGTCCCTTAGTGGAATCACGGCATCTTGCATTGTGCGAGAGCGTGAGGAGATTACGGTGGCCCTAGTGGCTTCTTGGGGAGCATTGTGCCTCCACACCGCTCCAAACGGAGATTAGCATCCGCAAGGGTGTGAACTTCGGGATACATCGTCTCCTCGTGCCTCGGTTATCTCTTACCCGAGCCCTTTACTTATGCACTTTACTTTGTGATAGCCATATTGTTTCTTGTCATATATCTTGCTATCACATAGTTGCTTATCTTTCTTAGCATAAGTTGTTGGTGCACATAGGTGAGCCTAATTGTTTTAGGTTTTGTGCTTGGCAAATTAACCGCTAGGTTTATTCCGCATTTGTTCAAGCCTAAACCGTAATTATTTTAAAACGCCTATTCACCCCCCCCCTCTAGGCGACATCCACGATCTTTCACCTAGGAATGAAGCCTCTTGGTGCATCAAGGTAGTTTTTCCATTCATGGCCCCACATGTCAGGGAGTGGATCGATAGTGGGCAGTTGTCGAGCCTATCCGCAGAAGAACGTGATGTTCCTATGCCACACCGTTTGAGAGACAAATCTTTAAATTCATTGATATTTTATTTTAAATTTATGAATTTTTTAAAATGTATGAACAGTTTTTAAATTTGGGGAACTTCTTTTGAAATCCAAGAACATTTTTTAAGTCATGGACATTTTCTTTTGAGAGAAACATTTTATGAAATTCGTAAAAAATTTCTAAATTTGCGAATATTTTCTAAATTCGTGAACATTTTAAAATTCATGAACCATGTTTTCAAATTATAAACATCTTATAAATTTATGAACTTTTAATTTTTTACCATGTTTTTTTACATTTCAGAACATTTTATATTTTTTGGAACATTGTAAAGATCCTCTCTAGTTGTTTCAACTTTCGTTCCTCTTTGATTTTTCCTTCGCTTCTCCAGATGGTCGAGGCCCAACTGGGGGACTAGCCGGCTAACAGAAGCGCATTCTAGGGCATGCGTGTTTGGTTTTAGCCAACCAACTCAAAAATACCTCCTATATTTTAACCTAATTTTTTCATCACCGCCACTTCCTGATCCGAGGAGAACATGGATTTAGCTCTTTTGCGGCACCCTGTCGAAGGGGAAATCGATCTTCATCAACATCTCATCGTCCCTTGCATCATGCCGCGCCTGCAGGATGGAAACATTCTCTTGTCCTGTCCTGCAAGAACCTCTTTCTTCTGACCGCCAGGCCCCTGCTTCTCTCCCATGCGGCAGAGCCACAACAAAGCGCACATCCCCTGCCACGGAAACGCTCTCGGGACCTGTCATGTACGAGCCACTTTCCAAGCGCTATGGCCTTAGCGTCACCGTGCCCACCTTGGACAGCTCCAGCGCAATGCGGAGGACCAGCTCTCGTCGACTCGAAGTTGGAACAGTTGCCGGGGCTCGACATCTCACCGGAGTCGTCGGATTCGATCCATGTCGAAGAAATCGAAGAGAGGAGAAGAGGGGACAAAGCGAGAGAGGAGAGTGAAGTGAGTTAGGGTTCCGGATTGGGGGTTTTGTGGGGACGGAGTGGGGTTGGTGGTGGACCAGGCTGACGTGGCGGACGCGCCCGGGTGCGCCCCGGCCGCCCCATATCCGCTCTACATTTGGTCTAGATATGAGGGGCGCCAGACAGCCCTAGCGTTTGAGACCGGTTTGAGGAGTACGGGTGGGTCAGTTTTTTTAACCGGTCAGTAACCGATCCTCTGCCGAGGCGCCGGGCTGTAGATGCTCTTGGGTTCTCAATTTAGAGGTGAAAAGGATGATTAGAGCATTTGTTACATCTTAAGGCAAAGCTTTGTCCAGTTTATAATATTTAGAGGCGGAATGGATGATTAGAGCATTTGTTACATCTTAAGGCAAAGCTTTGTCCACTTTACAATATTGGATGAAATATTCTTTCAACGAGTGGCCATGTTTCCATCAATAGCGATACGTTTATAGTGACTTCATCAATCTCAATACCATTCGACAGTCTCTCGATTCATAGCGATATGTTTATAGTGATTTTGTCAATCTCAAGACCGTTTATAGTGATTTCATTAATCTCAAGACCATTCGACAGTCTCTTGATTCATATTAGTGAGCGTATGGACATGTTTGTGAGCTCATAGGTGGGAGTGTCTGTGCGTGTTTGTGAGAGTTTACATCTGTAATGTGTTTCTATTAAAACTATATTGGGTGATAATAGGCTCATAAAGCATTACATGCACGCAATATACGACCAAACACGAGAGAATTTAGACAGCAGCTCGACTTCAATACACCAATCAACAGTGATGATGTTCTTATTGATGGTTCTGTACACCCAAATCAAGGAAACAAGGATTCTGATACCAAAACTACAACAAATCGAAACATGTGTCCATCAAAAGGTACAAACATGCACAGCTCATCGGCGCCGAACGACCCACACCGAATCAACATCAATAACGTCCACAGGATGAATTACCAAACATCGAACAGAACTGCACAAGGCAATCAATGGCGATACTGATAGCAGTAGATGTCCTACAGGAGCCAGAGCACCAGGACCCAGACTGGGTAGACGAAGAGCAGGACGATGCCGATGGTGTTGGAGACGCCATTGGCCTTCCTGAAGGCCTCCCTGAAGCCTCCTGACACCCTGATGTGCTCTTGGAGCAGGTAGCACCCGATGGCGAGGCATATGAAGACGCCGACAAGATCGTTCCTGAAGTGCTCCGCAAAGAGGCTGGGGGCGACCACCGTGAGAAGAATCAGAGAGCCAGGCAGCTCTAGCCAATCTGATACACATGATGAAAATCATTGTGAGATGTCTGTAACATTTTAACGGCTTATTAAGTACTTCCTCTGTCCCATAATATAAGAACGTTTTTGAAGCTATGTTAGCTTCAAAAATGATCTTATATTATGGGACGGAGGGAGTAGATGAAAAATAAGGACACATTTTTCGGTAGTGTTATATAAGCTGAAAAATATCTTCACAGGGCACAACAAAGATGAGAAATGCAACACATAGAGATAATTTGCTAGGGGCAGCAAGGATAGGTAAAAAAATAGATAGGAAATGATACCAGGGAAGTGACGCGGGAAGAAGAGCCGCAGGATGACTACAACGAATGCAATCCAGGCACCAACCTCTCCCCTGCAATTTTGATGTTTGATGATCACAAATTTGATTCAAATACCTATATCTAATGCTGTACAATTAAAGCAACAGAGGATATTGCACCATGGAAGTATCAGCCAGTAAGGCAGAGGCAGTGATCCTTCAACCGATAGACAACAAGCATGAAAAAATACCTCGACTTTTGCAGTGAGGTAGCAATATGTTAAAATAACCTATATTGAGCATGTATCTTACCTCACTTTATCAACAACCTATAAAGTCCTTTGAGCCTATCCTCAGTGAAGTGACCTTTTTTTAAGAAGACCGACACTCTGGCACTATAGCCGGTGATATCAACCAACAATGAACAATATCTTACCTCGCTTTATCAACAACCTAATGCACTATTTTTTCATTCTGGAAAACATACATGAAATATTTCGATTTTCTAAGTTCAGAATTTCAGATATTTCAAATTGGTTAATCCGCAGGAATGCAACAATCCTCCACAGCTACTAACAACTGCATTTAAACTGAAAACATGAACTGATGCTGCAGAAGGGAAATTGCGACCATACCCACCTTACGAGAGAGAATAGTACACCAGGCAGGGTGAAGAAAATGTAAGGGACCAAGAGTCCCGTCAGCATGTTGGTCTTCCAGTTGGTCTTGTCCAATACCAAGAGGTACCTGCAGTAGATGAGAACAGCAAAGTTCAGACAATGCATAATCCGGCGACCAACCGACAATTGCCAAGAAGGTAGCAATCTCAGGTTAAGTGGACACACAAACTCCTCAACTCCTCTAAGTTTTCAAAGTAAAGATTGAAGAGAAAATCATATATAGGCCGCAGAATCATCCTAACAGGTAACAGCTTAACATCACAGCATATACGCTTTGATAAGGTCCGACTTCTGTCTATATGTTAGGGATGTTTGCTTCGCAAGTCCCACAAAATTAATGGTGAACATTTCCTACCAAGCTACCGTTTTCACCGAGGCTTTGGCACGAATTTGACAGCGTTCGGCATCTCCCTCTAGGATACCGCAGTTAAATTACACGCTCAAGCTTACTAAAAAATTACTGCTTCCAAGGGAATATGCTGTCGCGATGTTTTCTCGCAGGCATCTCAACTGCTCCCTGGCGTGATCCTCCCGAAATGGTCAGGAGGCGAGGGAGATCGGAGATCCCCTTTGCAGAAACAAAGCTCGTCCCAGCAAGGAAAATAGAAGGGAAGAAAGGGGAATACTGACACGGCGGCGATGAAGGCGAGCCACTTGAGGAAGTGGCGGCCGAAGCCGAGGCCGCCGCCGAGGACGATGGCGTGGTTGGCGAGCTTCCGCGCGGCCAGGCCCAGCTCCCGCAGGTCCGACTCGAGCAGCGCCTGCGCCGCCTCCGACGCGCCGGACGCCGCGCCCGCCTTCATCGCGAGGAACGACGGCGCCATCTCCCCCGAGTCGCCGAGACCTCGAGAATTCTCAAGATAGACGGATGGATGGGCTCGGGTCTGGGTTCGATTTGTGCTTTGGCTTTGGCTGTGCGGATAGGAGGAAATATGTACAGGCCGGCAGCTGAGTTAGCTGGACCTTGCTGGGGTCGACGGAACGGAACAGGTGGCGCTCGGTCTCGACACTTCTCTACACACCCGCTGGACGGACACGTGGGGAACAGATCGCAACTGTATTATTGCATGCATGCAGTATCTTAGCTTTAGCTTGCTGTCACGGGATTTGACTTTTGACCACAATATGTATTTCTGTATTATGTGCTCCCTCCGCTATGTGTATTTGACAAATCTAAGACAAGTAATTTGCGACGGAGGTAGTATTACAGAAATGCTTGTTCGACATATTATAAGAGGTTCCAAAGATTGTTCGCTTTTATTTTTATGTCTAAAAATAAACTTACAGTCCCTCTAAATTACTTGTCTTAGACTCGAGACGAAGAGAGTTATCATTTAGGCCTTGTTCGGTTGCAGCAAAATTAAAAGGGATTGAAGTGGATTAAATTTCATACAAGTCAATACAAGTCAAAATCTCACTCAGTCCCCTCCAAACCTCTCTAACCCCCTACAGGAGAGGTTTAACCGAACAAGGCCGTAGCGATTCTTGTGTTACAAAGATTGTTCACTTTTTTATAAGGTTCCTCCGTGGTTCTGAAGATCTCCCACCATAGTATGAAGAAAACTAATATAGGGTGCGATTAGAGTAATTAATAAGCTCATAACACATCAGTTGCACGTGACCATCATACGGACATCCATGAGAGAACATGGCCAGCAGCTCATCACTTGAATGCACCCACCGATCAACAGAGCAGACGTTTTTATTGATGGCTATGTACCCACAGATCAAGGAAACAAATTAAGACGTGACACCAAATCGAAACATGGCCGAGACATTCAACAGGTACAAGAGCGCATGGTTCATCGACACCAAATCGCCGGAGAAAAACATCACATGATGAACCCCAAAAACAGCGGCGAACGGTCTACAGGAACCACATGACGACGGCCCAGACCGGGTAGATGAAGAGGAGGAGGATGCCGATGGTGTTGGACCAGCCATTGGGCTTCTTGAAGGCCTCCTTGAGGCCACCCGACGCCTTGATGTGCTCGTGGAGCAGGTAGCACCCGATGACCAGGCACACGCCGACGCCGATGATGAGCCAGGAGCCCCGGAAGGTGTCGGCGAAGATGGCGGGGGCGACCACCGTGAGGAGGATCAGAGACCCAGGCAGCTCCAGCCAGTCTGACAACATGATGCAAATCCCCATTGTGAGATTTATGCAACATTTTAAAGTTTAGCTTGTTGAGTACATGAAGGAATTTGCTAGGGGGCAACTATAAGCACAAGAAACAGAGAGCAAAATGATAGTACCAGGGAAGTGGCGCGGAAAGAACAGCCGCAGGACGACAAAAACGAACGCAACCCAGCTACCAATCTCCCCCCTGCAATTTTGATGTTGAGCAATCAGGAATTTGTTTCGTATATATGTACTCCCTCCGTTCCGAATTACTCGTCGCAAAAATGGATGTATCTAGATGTATTTTAGTTCTAGATACATCCATTTCTGAGACGAGTAATTTGAAACGGAGGGAGTATGTATGTAATAATGCTGTAAAATTGTAGCAGATCAACAGACGATATGGCATCATGGAAGTATCTGCAACTGCAACTAGCATCACTTATATAAGTATGAAAAAGGTAGCTTGAGTTCTGCAGCCAGGTAACAATAGCCCATATGCACAAGTTTTCATTTTTTATGATCTTCGGACCCTTGCCTATCATGTGAATCAATTGCCGAAAAATAACATCTTATATCTGCAGTAGTATTTTTCTCTTTTCATTTTTTCAAACAAGGAGGCGTCCTCAGTCCACTACTACTATCACTGATAAGTGATATCGGATCTAGTTTTCTTTTAAGAAGTGATATGGGAATAACCACGTCCAGACCAGCATCTAGTGCCGACACAAAAGCAAAGTACAAAAAAACTGAAGTAAACCACTGAAAGTGGATCCGGACCGCAGAACGCTAGCCAGCCACCAGCACCACAGCTGGATGTTCACCACTGTGTTTTCTTTATCTTTTTGGGGAAAATATGTACGCAATATTTAGATTTTGTGAGCTAACATCTTTCAGACTGACGAGTTATTAATCCGTCGCAAAGCAACAGTTCCACAGCTCAGTGGAAATTGCATGCAAAATTTAAAATCTGAAGGGACGCTGCAGACTGCAGTAGTAGAGAATTTGCGAGGATAATCACCTTATGAAGCCGAAGAGCAGGCCGGGCATGGTGAAGAAAATGTAAGGGACCAAGAGGCCCGTCAGCATGTTGGTCTTCCAGTTGGTCTTGTCCAGCACCAACAGATATCTGCAGCAGCAGAAGAAGATAAACAGCGAGGTTCAGAGAGATGCATAGCTCTGC